CGTGGAAGAAAGCAGTATTTTTATCTCCAAGGGTAAGCCAAAGAAGGCGGCTCCTCTGTTTCCAAAAAGCTTCTTCCGCCTTGTACGCTTTCAGTAGAGCTTTGTTGATGTCTGCTACAGTGTCATCAAGCGCCGGGATTGTCATTGCTTCATCGAGTTTTAGCTTCAGGGCCTCGATCACCTTGCGGCTATTTGTATGGTGTTCTCTAGCACAATGGATTTACGACACTCTGAGATACGATTGTAGACCGTGGAGTGAGGATTAGAGTTCCATGTGGCGTCGATCAGAATACGAACTTCCTCTATCTCCTTCAATCGCCTATCATATCGGAAGATTTTCCCCGTTTTCCTTCTCGTCGCATCAAAGGCTGAGTAGACAGGCCGGTGATCGGATCCTTCGAATTTTAGGTAGTGGCAGCGGCCTTGCGGGAAGGCATCATACCAAGAGCTATTCACAAGCGTTCTATCCAATCAGCAGTAGAACAAATGTCGTCCTCTCTTCCCTCTCCAAGAGAGGAAGTTACCGGTGTAGCGGAGATCAAAGAGGTCATTTCTCGCCATGACTTCTCGGAATGCAGTGAAAGATCTTTCTGATCGTTCTGAGCCTCCGGATTTTTCCGAGTTATCTAAGATCTCATTGAAGTCCCCGGTTAAGAGCCAAGGACTTGATCTGTCAGTTGCAAGCGCAGAGATGGCATCCCAGACCGTCTGTCGACGGGATGCCTCAGGTTCACCATAAACGAAAGTGGCGTGGAAGGTAACCCCTTTATACATGACCACAGCATCAATATAGTTATGAGAGTGAGCCAGAATATTCATAGAAACTTCTTGAGACCAGAGGAGGGCTAAGCCACCACCCTCATGACCATGTGGAGAGACTAAAAAATGATTATCCAAGGGAAGAGAAGCAAGTTCATTCAACACAAAAGCATCTTGATTTTTAGTCTCCATGAGAAACAAAATATGAGGACATATGGATATACACATATCCTTAATCCGCTGGACTGTTTCGCTGTTTCCCAAACCGCAACAGTTCCAGCTTATAATTGCTAAGGAAGATCCCTGCCTAGGTGGTGAAAATCCGAGTGGGGAGTTGTGTGTGTTGTTCTTAGGTTTTCACGCGATTGATCCTCATGTTCTCGCTGATGTTCTTGTTCCTACGGAGACTGATGATGAGAGTTGTTTCCCTGGTCGTGTAAAATTCTTGCAGTCTCTTTCCTTTTCCTTCGAGAACGTGAAGAAGTAGCAGCTTGGCCATCATGGTTCAAATTACGATTGGCTGGAGACCGTTGGGTTCGGGCGAGATTATATTGTCGAAGACTGGGACCAAGGGGGACTCGCAATGTGTGTTGACTACGTCTGGGTCTTGGAGGGCGGTTTGATCTCGAAGCTCCTCTAGTCGCTATGTCCTCCTGTGAGAAAGATATCTCATGATCAGCTGTTTGTTGGAAGCCAGGTTCTGGTCTAAAACAGATGATTTGTTGTGCCGGAGACATCAGCCCTGCTGCCACTGCTGCAGCTTTCTCATTGTCAGCCATTCTGGTAGTCGTTTCCTCAGTTAGACTATCCACTTCACTGTCCAAAACTCGCTGCATTCGAGCCTCCCTCTCCATAGGGTCGGGGTGATTGGTGTACCGGTAAGTTGCGCCTCGCAACTCTTCCAAGATCTCATCTCTACTCTGTGATCGGGCGGGGGAGTTGAAGTCAGAGATGTTCAAATTTCGCTCTAAGGGTGGTCGAGGTGCTGACTCCCTTGAGGTAGAAGCTATTCTTTCTGTTTGGTGTTGATTAGCTCCTGAAAGCACAGCCGACGGTGGGTGTTGAGTTATTCTTACTGTAGGTGTAGGATGACCACGAGGCGACTGTCGATGGGTAGTGTGTTTCTCCTTATGAGGGGTCCTATGCCTTGTATAAGGAGGAGAAACTCTTGCTGGTTGTTCCGGACTTATGTGGCTATCACTCACAACGTCCCTCTTATCATATCTTCTTTCGTACCTTTGTCGTGGAGGGGGTTTTACTCCTCAAAGATTCCGCTGAGCCCAAACGTATGCAGAAGGGTATCTTCTGTCTCTAGGAGATCTCCTGGATTTGTTGGCTCCAAAACGATCAGTCTGCGAGAGGAGGGGTCTGTTGGTCTGGGAAGCGTGGTCCCTGCAGTTTTCTGCTCTTACCAGCGATGGAGGTGAAATCCTTGGGGTGATCTTATTCTTCAGGGACCTAACCAGGGTCAGATTATGTGAGATCCTTTCCCCAAAAGGGTTGCCGTGTCTATCACGTCTTTGGGAAAACTGTGGCTTCTCGATGCGATCTTTCAAAGCCAAGATGTCCACAGCGGCTGGAGCAGGAGTGTGTTGGTTCTGCGGTGGAGCTACAGCACATTTCGACGGTGGGGCTACAGCACATCCATGTTCATGTTGTTTTCTCTCCGTGGTGATAATAGTAGGATTAACTTTAGCTGCTGTCAGAGATCTCGAAGGACAGTCAGAACTGAGGTGGGAAAGGCGGTTGCAGAGCGAGCAGTGATTTTTAAGTCCCTCGTACTCCATAGTGATGAAACATTCTTCCCCAGAGGCAAAGTCAATAACTGACTCCTTAATTAGTGGACTGAGACCGTCAACCAAGACTCTCATACGCGTTGCAGTTGCTTAGATATCGTAGGTATCGAGGTGGCCTAACTCGTGTCCAATTTCGTAGATCATCTTCTGATGCCAGAAGTGTAGAGGCAGACCTTGAAGCTTAATCCAAAACGGGATTTGTGAGGGGAAGGAGGGTGAAATAACCGGTTCCCAACGTTGGAGGATAACCATCCAGTTGTTGCAGTGATATGGACAGCTGTCAAGGACTTCCTTAAGATCTTTTTTAGATGAGAGGCGGAATTGAAAGCAGGAGTGACCCAAATCCGAACCTGAGACATGACCCTCCAGGTTCCATCGTCTCGGGAGCAGAGAGATAACATCACCCATACGTTGTTGTTGAGGGTTTGTGAGACGCCCGATGAGGGTAAGACTGTTTGCCTGGATAAGTGTAGAAGTGTCAAGATCCGGTGCACGAATTCTTTTCCGACCTTCCAAAGCTGTGGAAGATGCAATATGTTTCCCTTTCTCTGAGGATGTAAGGCGGCAAGACATGGTGTAGATAGCTTTGTAGTAGGAGGAAGGACAGTCTTGTAAAGTTACTGTATTCAGGAGGTCAGATGAGAGGAAGAAGCTGGAGTAGTTCGAGTGTCTCTAGAGGAGTTTCGTCGACTCTAGGCTTCGTTTCCCATCAGAAGGGGCCTGGGGACTTGCTCTTCACATCGCCTGAGAGTTTACAGGGCCTTAGGATAGGCGGAGTATCCATCTTACCGGCGACTTGCCGGAGTAAAACGAAGCTTCTCCAAAGGTGGTATTGATTTCGAAAAGATTTCCCGAAGTGGAACAAAACCAGACCGGTGAAAAGGAACAGAGTGGTGGACCCCAACAAATTTTGTTAAACCGGGAAAGAAACAAGATTAGTGAAAACCGTGGGAGAACCAAAACCGGGTAGATGAAGCTTCTCGAAATCCGTGCCTAGAAGAGAAATTCAGCTTTTATTTTTGATATTAATTGTTTAACTCTATTATTCCCTTTAAGTCAATGTTTTGTTTCTATTTTTAATGTAATTTGACGCTATTGTGTTCATAGTTAAAAGTTTGACACAAACTTCTTCTTTTTTTTTTGGCATCACACAAACAATTGTATTTAAAGTGCAATAATTAGTATATTCAGTAAACAATATCTGTACGATTGGTGCTGAAAATTATGTAAAACTCAGAAAACAGTAGTTCACTCGTTGTTTGATGTTAAATTTGATGAAAGGGACGTTCAGAACTTTGGGACCATTGTCCATATCAGTTACATGCCAATATAAAAAGAAAAAGAAAAAAAGGAAAAAAAAGTAACAATGGGGACCCAATCGTCAAGATCAGTTACATGACTTTTATATAATGTTCTTTGTTTTTTGTTATGTTTTATTACCACTTTTTTATTTGCCATTCCTCTAAGTTGTCACACCACAATGTCCTTCTCCATCGTCGGTACACACTTGGTGAGTTGGGAGGTGGGAGCAAGTCCAGTGGTTGATCATTTAAGAATCTAGTAAAGAATGAAATGAGTTGAACAAATAACAATAGATTAGTTAAGAATTTATTTGTTAAAAATGGTAAAATAAAACTTTAAGTTACGTAAATATATCTAAATATATAACATTATCAACACACTAATAAAATAAAATTCCATAATCTGCAATCATAATAGAAGAAATAGGAACTCAAACAAAGAGTTTAGTGTAAAATTCATTAAAATATGTTATTAGTATTCGGTATGGAGCAACCGGCAACGTGTAACATAGATTATGGAGGATCTTCCGGACAAAAATTTGTGTCGGTCGAATTTAATACACATATGTAAATATATATATATATGCTTTATGTGTGAAACGAAAACGCAAGCCTTCTTCGTCATCATCATTGCAGAAGAAGAAAAATGAGTGTTCAGTGAAATACACATGGCAACATTTGGTGCTCAAGTAGTATTCGATCTTTCCAGGAATTGCTGTAGCTGTTGACTCTCCTTCCAAACATTCATTCATTACATAACGACATACACACGCGTTTTGAGTGGGACCGCATGTAACTTTTCACGATAAAAGAATGTGTGTGTGATATGTTTCAAACTTTACAGTTAACTTGTGACGAACATCAGAATCAGGTTAGGAATCTTGTCAAGTCTTTCACAAGTTTGGCCTCTAAAGAAGCATTGTTCTCAAATCCAGGTCTTGTCAGAAGAGCAAAATGAATGCTGCTAAGCTTAGAATTGAACTTTATTGAATTAAAAAAAAAACTAATCGAAACTGTCTTCTAAACGACTAACTTAGGAGAAGAGAATTGGTGTCATAGTCTACGTAGTAGAAGCTCACAAAACGCCTCCAATGAGAAAATATCCAACAAAAAAAAAAGAGAAGAAACAAAGTGCTTATAGATGTTATTGCCGCTTGTTAATGTAAGTGGTGATTACTACAATCCCTACGCTGCAGAGAGCTAAGGTTAACACGTTAGGGGTGCTACTCGATTCCTCATTGGACAAGAAGAAGCTCTTGATTGTTTGGCCTCTGCTAATATTATTATTGCTTCCGGATCTTTCTAAGCGCAACCTTTCTGCTGCTGAGCTATCTTCTCTCATCAGATTGCTCAGATTCTCCAACTTATGCATAATTTGACGCTGTCCAGGTGCGAGGGACGATACCTGGTTGCACCATACTCAGAAAACTCAGCTTTTCAGAGCAATCTAATAGCATCCCAAGTCTCTTAAAAGAGAGAGAGAGAGATAGGTGACTTTACCTCTTCCATTATTGATGGCCATTCCTTGGCTAATTGGGAGAATGATAATGAACGAGGCATTATGGAATTTGTCAAACAGCCATTGTCCAGACCAGATATGAAATTCGAAGTTGGAGCTGAGCCATTGCAGACTTCAGGTTGGTGTGTCATACTCTGCTGCGTTGGAGAGTTTTTGTTGCAGCTCAACTTTGAGTTTAGCTCTTCCATCCGGATTGAGAACTCATCCATTCTCTCATTGAGAGATGTTATTTTTTCCGAAAGATGAGTCATAAACCTCTGAAAAATATTGTAAGTCGTGATTGCTTTCTTCATACCTCCTATCGCTTGAAGAATAATCAGCAAACCTGGAAAGATTCTTGTCTCTTTGAGTTGAATATGAGTGTGACATGCCTCTGTGTATAATAAACGGCATAACTACTCAAAGGACATACATGGATTAAAAGTAACAAAAGCTTTTAATACACTCCTCCGGAGAAGTGTACCTTTTGAGGTTCTGATTTCTCATGGCTACTCTATCTGCAGAAGCTCGTAAGAGTGCTTCCTTTGGGCTTGAACTAGACACCAAATCCTCGTCTAAGCTAAGCTTGTTCTTCAAGTCATCTGGTAGGGCCTGTAATGCACGAACCAACCCAAATGAGACATGTAACAAAAACCAAATAGGAAGCATCGCCTGAACAGCAAATCATACCATATCATTTATCAATTTTTCCAGTTGGATCTGTTCAATGTAGGTGCGTGGAATGAACGATCCATCCAATCCTAGTTGTGATGCAGTGTTATGTACAGTTTGTCGATCTTTACCTTGCACCTGATCATTACAAATTTAGAATTCTATAGTCACTGGGAACAAGAATGTCATCATTAAATTTTCTTCTACAGTTATTATAACCAAGAAACTAGCGATTTCTAGCAAATTGTGGAGCATATGAGTTAAGATAGACAAACCTGCATGTAGTGACGATTCAGTTGCTCAAGCCAATCGAGTTTCACAATCACCTTATCAGTAGCAAATACATGGCTGTCCCTTTTAAGTATGGTTGCTATTGTGTATCCCAATGCCATTAGCCCACCAAGTAACCGAACGCTCACTTCAAAAGTAATCCTTGGGGATATGACAAAAGGAGTATCTGTAACCCATTCCTGCATATCAAAATCACAATCATCAAGCAATCTTAACATCATTTTAAGCAATCTTAACATTAATGAAATCAGAAGGTTGCCAAACCTCAAACATGAGGCTGTACTTTCCATCTTTATTCCGCATCCTCAAATATGATTGACACGACTCTGGATCTTCACCAGGAGGAAGAAGATATATATCATACGTCTCCTCCTTAGTCTCTGTATGTTCTTCAGAAAGGACCTCCTTGATCTGATCAACGGATACATCCTTTCTCGACTACAACAAACCAAACAGCAAAATAACTTCAGTTTACCAAACACAGACAACATGGACAAAATCAAATCATTTTTCAAAACCTTCAAGATGTATGTTGGGTTTTGGAAACCAGTGAAGGGGTTAAACTTATTAATGATTTTGATTTGAGCAGTCTGGAGATCTGGCTCTATGAAAGCTTTGTACATAGGGTACACCTACATAAACAGTGGAAGTTATTACCTTTTTAACAGTTTTACTTAACCAAGTAACAGCCAAGAAGCAAAGATACAAAAGAACTGAGAACAAACTGTTTCAGATATCTGATGGATAATCTCCTCTGGCTGTTGTCCTGCACGTTGAATATCACGAAGAACCCTTTTAACAAGATCAAAGTGAACTCCACCGGTAACAGACACACGAAGATCCAACAAAGGTCTCAATTTTTCACTCAATGCATAGATCCCTTCAATAATCACAATCCTAGAATCTGGGACATCAAGGGTCCTAACAAAAATCAAAAGCATGTCATTAAAAACAAAAAAAAATGTCTTAAAATGAATATAACGGTTAACCAACATCATCAATTACCTGTATCCAACACGAGAGCTGGACTTAAAGTCATATATAGGAACCTCAACTTGTTTTCCTTCCTTCAAATCTTCAAGATTCTTGAGTAATGTGTCATAGTCTGTTAACCGTGGATCTATATTTCCAAGAAAAAGATTGTTATAGCTCAATAGATATAAAGTACTTGGTTAGGATCAATTCTTTTAAGTCTTTATATCACAAACCGGGATGTTACACAAATAGATATGTTTCTTACCGTCAAAGTTTCCATCAACAATTCGACTTGCGTCATTGTAGTTGTCCATTGATATGACAGCAACAGTGGGCATAAAGTGAAGAATGTTCTCCGTAAACACTGTCTTTCCAGCACCAGAAGGACCAGCAACACCAACCAATATGATCGCATCGTTCTTTTCAGACAACAACTGGCACGCACGGATAACCGCATAGAGGCCCTTCTCAAATGACAACCGGTCTTGAATTGGAACTATTTCGTACCGAACAGAGTCTCTTCTCTTAACCAATTTGACTTGATCCTTCAAGAGAGCCGCTCTCGTCTGATGAATCTCGATCCCATTGCTGTCTTTACCCATTCTACCTGCAAAAATAAAAACAAAAACAAAAAAAAGAGCTTAATTGCATTGAGAAAACAGAGTGTATGCTCACAAACACTGAAACCAAGCTTACAGAGCCAACTCAAACTTCATAAAGACTGAGTTTTTAATGATCAAAACTGTTTCATATCAAACACTCACGAGCAAGGCAGGGATCACAAGACAACAAACATGAAACTAGATTGGCGAAGGGAGAGACCCATTAACCAAAGTCGATAACTTGCATTGAGAAAACAGAGTGTATGGTCACAACATTGAAACCAAACTAACAGAGCCAACACACAACATAAAGACTGAGTTTTTGATGATCAAAACTGTTTCATGTCAATACCCATTAACTAAAGTCGAAAACTTGACACAGATTTTGAAGGAGTTTGGTGTGTGGCACTTACAATGGGTTACTCTGTTGTGAATCGTTGGGATCCTCACTTTACGCAGAGCAGTTGCAGTTTTATTTGAGATTAGAGAATGTGGGGAATGAGGAAAGATTTGGATTTATATGAGAGCTTTTTTCGGGGCGAGCGAGAATCTCTTGCGAAAAGATCTTTGGAGGCTCTCTAGAATGAATGAGAGAATGCAATTTATTAATACCTTTTGATCGTCTCCTTTTTTTTTGTTTTTTTGTCCCGTTATAGCGTTTTATTTTCTTTTTAGATAAACTCAAATATACGCCTATCACTTGTTTTAAAAATACAACTAGATTTTGATCCGCGCAACCGCGCGGGTGTTTGTTTTCGTTTATAGTTAGTTATATAAACATTTTGTTTTCATTTGCAAATTGGTATATATAATAGTAATCACATATTTACGATATGTATAGTAAATATTTTTCAAACATAATAATATTATATAATGTGTTTTAATCAAATAGATTGTTTCAATTTTTTTATATTATACATATTTTTTAAACATGTGTTTGTTTCTTTTTCTATATTTTATTGTTTGTTAGATTGGTATTTTATTTTTAGATAAAGTAATATAAATAGAGTTTGATTAAATATTAGTATACTTTAATTTGCAAAGATAATATAAACTTCGAATAATTTTTTGGCAAAAACTAAACTTATAACTTCATAAATTAATATTATAAATAATTTTTTTTTAAATAATTTTTAAACAATTTCCTTTTTTTTTCAAACAATATAATTTTAAAAATTTACATCGAAATAAATTTATCTAGTATATATAGCGTGTAAATTTTGTTAGGGTATATAAATATTCCATATTACAAATCTGTGATTTTTGTTAATATATTGTAGATGCATTTAACTATTATTGACATATTTCCTTATAAATAATAAAAGATTCCTAAACTTATATCTATTGACATATTTTGTGTGACTAAGTTGGAAGGTGTGGGNTATTGACATATTTCCTTATAAATAATAAAAGATTCCTAAACTTATATCTATTGACATATTTTGTGTGACTAAGTTGGAAGGTGTGGGGTAATTTACCAAAACCAAATTATTAGGGGTATCTTTGTTATTATAGATATGATTTTTCATAAGATATAATAATGATAAGATTATTAGAGAGTTAATGTAACATGATTTTCTAGTAATAGTCCATTTTTTAAAAAATCACACATGAAGTCAAGTCATGACTTCTGTTTTAATATATAAGATAAAATTAGGTGATAATTCCAAATACAATAGAACTAGGAAATCAGCACATGCACCGGAATGAATGAATTAAAAAAATTACTAGACCTTGACCCGTGCGACCGCACGGGTATTAATTTTATTTTTTTAATTTTTATATTAAATGAAATTTTTGTAAAAATTAATTGTATTACATTTAGGCTTTTTTGCGCGTGTTAACAATTTATTGGGTCAAAAATATTGGATATCATACAAACAAATCTAACATGTAGACGATATATTGAAATATTTTTCATTTAAAGATACATCAAATCTTGCGAAGTAAGAGTTAATATGGTATACAAAAAAATGATAAATTAGTTATAACATTTCTAAGAAAAAGCTTGATGTTCAAATTATATAAATTTTTTAATATATAAAACATTTGAATTGAAATTTGTAAAATAAAAAATGAAGTATCAACTAAATGGTTACAAATTACTTATGGGTTTAATTTTGATAGAAGAATACCGAAAAGTTTGTTGTTTGATCCGTGCAAGTGTTTGTTTTTATATATTTTGAGAAGTCAGTTTCCTACGTGTCGCGCTCATGTTAACTCTCGCGATGGTTGATTACATAGATACCATTAATGAATTGTTAGATTTTAAGATTATTATTAATTTTTTTTATTTAGTTTCCTTTTTACCTTTTTCCAAATAACATATATAATAAAAAGAAAATATTTCTAAAATTTTAAAACAAATTTAAAAACGAAAATATATGTATATAATATGAGTTTATTAAAAAGGGAAGTTCATAAAATAGTAATATCCCCATTAATACATATTTTAAAATAACATAAAATATGTTTTCAAAATAATGAAAATATATATGTTCATGAACATTCAAAAATTTATCAGTTACACTTTAATTTCTAATATTTTTTAGAAATCAACATATAGTTTGATAAATATTATGAAAATACATGTATATTTAAGCGATAAATCTTTATAAAATTATTTGAGAAGTCACTTTCTTATGTGTCGCGCTCACGTTAACCCTCACGCTGGTTGATTACTATAATACCCCTAATGAATTAAAAACACAATTAAATATTATTATTTCCTTTTAAAAATTTCCAAATAACAATATAAAATAAAAAGGAAACATTTATAAAGTTTACAAAACTATTTCAAAACGAGAATATAAGTATATATAAATACGGTTTCATAAAAATAGAAAGTTCACAAAATAGTAATATTTAATTTAAATATATTTTAAATAACATAAATATACTTTTAAAGTAATAAAATACTTTATATCTATATCTTCTTAGATGAAAAACAATATATTTATATAATGTCATTCCATAAAAAAAGCTTACCCAATTAATCTTGATATTAGAAAAATAAATACTTTTTATTTAAAAATAATAATTTTAAACAATAAATATATATATATATATATATAAATATTTTCAAAGTAATTATTTTTTTGTATATATCTATCTATTTTATTAGATGATTACATAAAATAATTAAGTAACATAAACTCATTTATGTTTAATTGACAATTTTTTTCTATAATTAGTATTCTTGAAATATTTTTAAAAAATTTTAGTATATTTATTTGACTATAATATCTTACAATTACATCAGAAAATATAAATTCTATTTTACTTATATAATATAATTTCTCAAAAACAATAACATTTTTACTGCATATTTTAAGAGATATTTAAAACAAAACTAAAATAAATTTTAATAATAAACATTTTTGATCAAATAACTAAAATTATTTTAAAATATCATAACACTATATAATTTAACGAAGTAGATATATTATATTTTAATAGTTAAAATTATATGTTTTCTTAAAATTTCTTTTGATTTTTAATTTTCTGTTTTATGTTTGTGGAACTTAATATAACCATAATCAAAGTACTTAAACAAATCAGGTTATCTTTAAAATATTTAAAATAAATTTCAGTTTAACATCCAATCAATCTAAATATTGTAAATATTGATATGTCTTCATAAGCTTCCAAACATTTATTAGTTCCTTATGTAATTTAGAATCACACAGTTTAGTTTTTATTATTTTTCTTTCTAAGCACAAAAAATCTTAAGTTATACATAATTGTATCAGATATAGTTATATTTCTATGATAACAACCGGCATAAATGTAAATGTAAATAAAATATGAATCAAAAAATTAATATATTTAGAATAAAAAAGATTATAGTTGAATTCAGAGAAATAAATAGAAGCTGATATATCCATATGATAACTAAATCAACCGCAAAAACAATAAAACTGACGAAATATAATATATCTAAAATTATATATATAATTAAATTAATATAATATTAATATAAATTATACTTACAAATTATAAATTAATTTAAAATTTGAAGTAAATATCTATCAATTATTACAATATATTTATATTATAAATATTTATGTCTGTGCATGAGCACGGAAAAATCACCTAGTATTAGAAAGATAAAATAAAAAATGTTAAATATAATGAAATAGGTGCGTTTGTTTATATAATGTAACCTTATTTGTTTTTTTTTTTTTGAAAAATGTGTAATTGCATAAGTGCATTGAAGTTTATTATATAAGAAAAATACTATAAGATTAAGCAAAATTTCTTTAAATTTATTATGAATTCAAACAAAAAAAAACAAAACATAGGTTTGAATAATTATTTAATTCATAATAGATTTATGATGATAATAATTAAAAACAACATAGGTAATAGAAAAACAAAACACCAAATAATGAAAACAATGTTTTCAAAACTCCTGCTCTGCATTCCTATAGAGAAAAATAAGAATAGATAAATTTACAAAACAAGATACACGTATTTACTCTTCTCTACGAAATGAAATGATATACCATTTTCTATAGCATCGATTTCTTGTTCATCAATGGGTTCGAAAACAATTTTTGAAAATCCATCAATATTTGAGATATTTTTCAATTTTTCTTATCATGATCAAGATGACAATATAAGTAGTAGTGTAATGGGATACAATATCCAACACAATTTTTATTTAAAGTTAGTAAAATACATTAGTATTACATTAACAATTCTAGGGTTAACAAAGTTGTGGAACGTTTGCTATAATTACCAACATAAATTACTGCACCATAAACTCTTTTCCAATGCATTAATACTCTTTCCTATTAAATCGTCTCCTAATAAGTAAATCAATTATTATGATAATTGAATTCATAATATAATTTGTGTTTGTTAACCACTGTAATTGATTCAACTAGTCAATGGTTTTGAAAAAAGTCATCCAAATTAATATTATGAATTGATTATCAATTCAATCACCATAATTTTATATATATACTAGTGGTTTTCCGGCGCTACGCGCCGGT